GTTACGTTCTTAACTAACTACTAACGTAACTACTCTCTCTCTCTCTCTCTCTCTCTCTCTCTCTCACTGAACTCGTACTTCACCGTTACAGCAGATGATACGATATTTGTGAGAGTTTGCTCGATATGTATACATAGTTGCACGATTCCATCTAGCAGAAATAACCAATCAAACCAGCGTTCCTTTCAGTAGTTCCTTCTTACAGTAGATACACGTATGCATATTTTCACATATCTGCAGTAACTTCACTCCCAGACGAAAAGCCAGACATCTGGCATATGTTCACAATTCTAGGACGTCCTAAGAATTTGAAGATCGTTTTTATTGAGAAATATCATCATCGAGCAAGAGATTTTCAAACATTATGAATATTTGAATATTTTCATCCGAGTAACTCTTATCGTTAGTTTGACGATTATCAAAGCAGATACATCATATATCTGTACAGTGTACGTTCCATTATAAAGTTTGTTAACGATAAATGTGTATTTCACGCTTCTGGACGTGAGTGCTATTTTAACTATTTATATGAAAGAGTTCGGACGACGAACAAATTTTTGTTTGCGCAAATAACTACGCCATACATTTCTTGATTAACATATTAATTGATCAACAATGTTATCGTTATTGTTTTTCATAGTTGTTTGCAAGGATGACAACACGAAGTCGAGGAAGTTACAATTTCCGAATAAATGTCATTAATGTGATGATTTCACGATTAATCTTATCGAATCTAAATTTTTCGCCCATTTCGTTGTTTATATGCAGTCAATTCAACGTCAAATTCAAAATCGTAGGATAAGGGCCACATTGTACAGAAGGATAATAAGCATTAAAATTTAACATAGAATCAACACAACACAATTGGTAAAAGTAATCACGGACATTCGTAACAAATTTGAAATTCATTTCATAAAAATCGCTATCTTGTAAACGCGATTCAATCCTGTACAAATCCGTGAAAAAACAGGAACTTCGATCGGATAAATAAATTAAAACTATTTATTACATTCGATGAATTCGAAAGTATTTTAATTCGCGTTTTAATTCGATCCTTCTCTCTGTCGATCGTGCAATTTATAAACTTAATTGTATATAATGAACACATAATGCATATATTATTTTCCGTTTAATGAAATTGCACGAGGGATTGTATTTTGGCAAAAATTCAATTTCCTATTCTATCGGTGACGCGAAAAAGCAAATTTTCATACTAAAATCGATACGATCAAGTAAAACGACAATTAATTGCTGATTAGAACAATCACGATTAAATCTTTCTGTTTCTTTTCTAAACATATAAAAAGTTGCATACGCGTAAATAAAACTCGAATCAAATGATTTCTTTTCTTTTTTTTTTTTTTTTAGAAGAATTTTATCTTCCTCTCCTCGATTCAACGATCGTTCATCCATAATTCGCGCCTATACGATCGTTAAAGAGACCGTCTGTTCGCGTTAAACACACAAACTTGTTTAATTCGTTTAAGAGGTACGACGTATACTCGACACGGAGAAAAACTCGATTGAAATATTACACGCAGATATTACAGACAGTTCCGAAATCGCTGATAGCAAAATCTTGTTCGTGACGGGTCGTGTCACTGTTCCAAGAGTCTAAGCTTCAAATATTTGCAAGATTCGAGAACTATTGAGAAAACAGGAAACTATAAATCAATCAGACGACAGGATACTTTGCAGGAGTGGCGAGAGCCGGCACAGTCTTTAGAAACGTTCTCTATCTCGTGCACGTTGCACCGATATGAAGCTGAAGGTGACAGAAACTCTTCTTCGCGTGTGGCCGCAGTGGGCCACCTGCTTGACAGGTTAGTAATCCTCTTCCGTGTACATTGCATTACGCTGTTTCACGATCAGATAACATCTGGAACGAAATTACGCAATCATCGTTGCAATCATTCCCCGCGACAATACCACACCATCGATGCAACATCAATTGAGGATTTTATCATAGTGACCCTATTGTCTATCAGTGTGGGATTGAAGATTGGTTGGACGTCCCCCTATCTGGCCCAGTTGACCAAAGAAGACTCGCCACTTCGCATAACTGACGACGAGGCGACATGGATAGTTTCTCTGCTTCCGTTCGGGCGATTGTTCGGTGCCGTGGTCGGCTACCTCGCCATGGAATATTATGGCAGCAAAAGATCCCTGTTAATCTCGGGTATACCCATCATGATCAGCTGGATCTGTATAATACTCGCCGATTCGGCCGTCTGGCTCTACGTATCCAGACTTTGCGCAGGTAAATCTTCCTTGTCCGATTTGCCGATGCGCCCATCATTTCTACAATTTTCCCAGGTATGTGCTTCGGCATGTTCTACGGCTGCTTCGCCATGTACATGGGCGAGGTGGCGGCCCCTGAAATTCGTGGCGCGCTGGTAAGCACGATAATAAATGGACTTCCGTTCGGGACGTTGATCGGGAGCATAATGGGCAGCCAAGTGTCCATGATGTGTTTCGGAGTTGTAAGTCTGGTTTTGGCCATCTGCTTCATGATCATCTTCCCGCTGTTGCCCCAATCGCCGCACCACTACGTGCGTAACGATAATTCGATCGAGGCGAGGAAAACGATCCAATGGTACCACAGGAAATCGAACGTGAACGCGGAACTGGAATTGATCGAGAACTTTGTGCGATCCTCCCGATCGATGAACTTCCGCCACAAGCTCAAACAGATCACGGAGAGGAAGAATAGACGCTCGTTGATTTTAATCATACTTCTGTACATCTTCATGCAACTGAGCGGGGTGAACACCGTCACGTACTACATGGAAATTATCGTAAGAAAGGCGAAAGTGACGATACTGGAACCGGCCACTATTGTGATTATCGTCAATGGAATCGGTACGCGCATCTTGCACGTGTTTACAACGTTCGATCGATCGCAAAGTTTCATTAAAGAGATTATAAAATTACTTTTTATACTTGTATATTAGATTTCATTATTAAACTTTGAGAAAGATAGATTCCGATTTATTTTCCATCGATATTAAGAAAACTCGGATATATTCTTCTTGGACAAAGGACATTTCGATAGTTGACAGAAGCGATGTATATATATATCATATATCACGCGACATTCGCATTTCAGGTATAGCGGTCGGCTGGATCAGCGTGTATCTGATCGATCGATACGGCAGAAGGGTTCTCATGGCGGTGTCATGCGGCTGCGTAATCATCGGAATGGTGCTTCTGGGATTACACTTTATGTTATTGGAACAGAATTTCGACTCAAAAAATCTGGAATGGTTGCCGATCCTGGCGATGATATTTTACGTGATGATATCCATCGGTCTGATACCAGTTCCGAGCACTGTGCTCGGCGAGTTTTTCTCGGATGATTTAAAAAGTATCGCTGGATTCGCCGTGAGCATCACATCCGCGTTATTCGCGTTCGTCTCCAGCGCAACCTATCAGCCGATGATCGATCTCACGAGCGAAAAATACGTTTACTGGATGTACGCGATGGTCATGATCGTGTGCATGATTTATTCGTTTGTGGAAATACCGGAAACCAAAGGGAAGACTTTGCAGGTAATTTTTGAATCAATTTAATCGCAACTACTTTTTTATTAGCGTATCATCTGATTTGTCGTAAGGATAGTTGAAAGCTTTCTGAAGAATGATTGTAAAAAAGGATTGCGAATGATTATTTGGATAGAAATATTATCAAGTGACTTGGTCAGTGGTTAAACGTATAAAATAATCTTTGGAATCTTTGCTAATACAATACTAGAATATTTCTTCTTAATTAATTTTGGTGAAAATGTGGATAATGACAGATTAATAGAAATCAGTCTGATTTTTCCTCAAGACACGATCCATTAAATGATCCATGCATGTGTCCACAGGAAATACAAGAGATGCTGCAGGAGAGGCAGAAGAAAGGAAGAAAAATTCGAAAGAGAAAGAGATAACAAAAGCAGCCCGATAACAAATTGCCTATAAATTTTGTATGAATAAAATGTCGTATAAATAATTAATGATCTCAATAAACGCTTTTAATTACTCTCATTATACATATTTGTATGTTATATATAATGAAAAACGATTAAGAAATATTATTTCACTATTACTGATTTGTATAATATGTTTAAAAAAACCAGACATTTCAATGTTGCAATAATCTTATCTTATCACGAGATGTCAAAAGACAAATGTTTACCATACATTCGCCACTACATTTCGTCTAAAACTAGCATAAAGAGGAATTAATGAGAATCTATAATTATAAATATAAAATTGTACATAATTATTAAAAAAATTATTGCACGTACATTACAGAGGCCCTTTTAAATTCAAAATTTCGATTTCAAAATATATTTAGAACTTTGAGAATGAATTATTTAAACTGTTATTTAAACCACTGGATTTCAATTAAAATTAATATTAAAACTACTATATGTTTCCGTTTTTTCCCAAAAAGGATAAAAATTATTCTTGCGCTTCGATCTAACACTTCGTTTCAGAATAAAACGTTATAACAATATGATTAAACAACTTTCCTTCGGAATCGTAAGTGTATCGAACAAATAATGTCATTGCCGATAAGATTGGTAAACATATTTCCGTTATTCGTAACAGAAATTTATATCCCCACTTTATCCCCACACGTATCAGTATATAAAGCAGAAAGATTTATATTTTTATTTTGTTGAATCAAATACTCCCGTCTCGTTTCTTCGCGTATCAAATATGGAAGAAAACACAACAGCACGAACTATTTCCTTAAGAAAAGCCTTAAATTACATCATCTCTCGAATTATCAGGTTTGTTGTTTCGATTTCTATTAAAAAAAATTTCGCGTTCAAACGAAACAATTTGGCGTCACGATGCTATTTTAAAGATGAATCGCGTGAGATCATCGTAAAACATAAATTCACAAGCAAAACTATTCATATTTAAAAAGCTGTGTTAACTTAAGGATAAGAAGCGACTCGGGAATTGTTCTGTAGAAATTTCTATTATACGATGATATACGATCCTTTCCTTTATCTTATCTACATTCACAAATATACTTTAACTATTTTCAAAGCTATATAATTTTGATGCAAACATTACGTCTGTCATACACTTTGTCTCTTCAGAACACTCACAATGACCATGGCAATAGATGGAAAATTAAGCAAAAGAATACTTTGGCCCCAATGGATAGCTGGATTTGGAGGTAAATTAATATTATCGATTGAACATTAACGAATTCATCCAACGAGAAAAATCGACCAACCTCGAACTCTGTTTGTCAGTTTTGTTATTAGGAACCGAAGTGGGATTGATGGGAGGTTGGTCATCCCCGTACATCAGCGAATTAACATCTCCGAATTCTTCGTTCACAATTACGATATCAGAGCTATCTTGGGTGGTGTCGCTGTTCAATCTCGGCAGATTGATAGGCTGTATCAAAGGTGCTCTGTGCAGCGGCTATTTTGGCAGTGAAAAGACGATTCTGATCTCCAGTATGCCTATCACGTTGAGCTGGCTCTTCATCATCCTGGCTAACAGAGTGGAATGGATATACGTCGCGAGATTCCTCGGTGGCCTCAGCCTGGGAATGGTTTACTCCTGCTATTCCTTATATCTGGGCGAGATAGCGAACCCTACTATAAGAGGAGCATTGGTCGCAATGGGTACCACTGGATTACCAATCGGGAACCTCCTAATGAGCGTCATGGGAGCGTATTTGTCGATGCACACGTCAGCTTTGATAGCTCTGATCTCCTGCATCGTAATGATAATTATTTTCGTCTGGTTGCCAGAATCGCCTTATCACCTGATAAAGAAAAAATTAGACGAGAAAGCGAAATACTCGATCCAATGGTATCACAGGGAGTGCGACGTGGAGCACGAGTTCAAGGAGATGCGAAAATTCGTCGAGAATCTCGACAGACAATCGTTGTCCGACACTTTGAAGGAGCTCAAGATTCTTCATTACCGCAAGTCAATAATCATAGTCTCGGTTCTAATCGTGTACAGTCAATTGTCCGGGATAAACAGTATTCTATTTTACATGGAGCCGATTTTGACCACAGCGAAAGTCAGTGTCATGGAACCCGCGCAAGTGGTGATAATAGTGATGGCAGGTGGTGTCGTTGCGTCGTGTTTATCGATATTCGTGCTCGACAGATTCGGAAGGAAATTTCTCATGATCATGTCCTGCAGCGCGATCCTCCTGTCTTACGGTATTTTGACAGTTGAATTTCATTTGTTGGATCTCGGTTTCGATTCGAAAAAAGTGGAAGGATTGGCGATCATCGGAATGATATTATTTTACATATCGGTGTTTTTGGGCATCATTCTCGTCCCATCGACGATGATGGGTGAAATTTTCCCTCAACATCTCAAGTGCATCGCTGCATGCATCGTCAGTATCTCGGGCTCTACGATCGCTTTCCTCTCGACGTTTACTTATTTAACGCTGCTCGATTTTATGACCGAAAAATACTTGTTCTTGTTCTACGGTTTGCTCGTGGCCTCCTGCATACCGTTTACCGTATGTTTCGTGCCTGAGACGAAGGGATTGTCTTTGCAAGAGATTCAGAATAAATTGACAGGGAAGGACAAGAAAACTTTACGTGCATCCGCGTGCGTCGATAAGGATAAATTTTCTCAGGAACAAAACTTGGGACCATACGTAATCTCACGCGACAATTAACGCGTAATATGATATATCGCATCGTATATTTATTGTGCAATTTATTTATACAGAACTTGTATATTGCCATGTATGGTAAATGTAATTGTAAATACGACTCGAAAGTGTAACGTTTTTTCTTAAGTAAATGATAATACAGACTGTGATATTAATATCGATGGAACTGGAGTTGGAATTACCGTTATCGCGTAAGAGTGAAATATACTTGGCAGATAGTAGATGGAACTCGATTTCTCGAGGAATCGTCTCTCGATCCAACAGATATTCGTTTCGAGCCGATCGAAAGAGCATCGAGAAGAATTTTCTAGTAAATCTACGAAACGCTACGATCGAAGAGGCAGGGATAATAGAAGAAAAGGTCGCGATGCCTGTTGTTCTTTTGCCTTTCCATTCTTCCTTTAACCGAGAAACGATGTAGCTATTTCTCTTTGGGGCGGACATACGACCGGCGTAACGTCCACTGGATGGAACTCGGCCAGTTTCATATTTTACAAGACGATATTTCAGCCGCGCTGGCTACGCCAACAACGTTAAAGATGCCGCGATCCCATGGTGCCACTGTTGAAAATTGGACGCGGACCTTATCTCGCTCGGGTCATTGCACGATGACTTTCTTCGATGACCTTATAAAGCCGGGACATCGATGCGTTTAGTTTACGACGCATTTATTATTAAACATATGAAATTTGCGCGATATTAAATTGCAATGATATTAAAAAACCGTCAACAACCAGACATTGTTCATTTTCATATGTAAATAAAATTCGATCGATTATATTCGACGATAGAAAAGTTATTTTTAAAAAATGTAAAAGAGAAACAGAAATAGCAAAGGAAGAATGAAGCGACGTTTAAAAAAAATGATTTATCGTAGCGAGATAACGATACAGGTTAGGATGTATAACGTTATTCCAATGTTATATTTCCGTGACGACGAACCGAACGTCAACGCGGCGAATTAATTACTTAAATGTCACTGTTATTTCATAATAAATGTTTCATGTATCGTGCACACATCCGCTCCTTCTCCGGGCGGCCGGTTATCATTTTAAATTCATTACCGTGCAACCCAATTGCACGTTGGTTCGGAGTATTGCGTGAACCAATAACTCTTTGCTCCATCCACGCCAGGATAATGGTCGCATGGATCCAATGACATTCACCAATATTGTTAACTTATTACATCTCGCGCGATTCGAATTCGCGATAAATCAATACCAAGAAGAATTCTCTTTGAAATAAACATATATATATATAAAGGAAATACTGTAAATTTATACCGCGGACACAGGGAAGATGCTTTCAACTATTGCTATTGTTTCACGACTTCATGAAATATTCATAAATATTCATTGTTTCCTTCGATCGCTATTGTCCGATTTATTTCTTCTTTTTGGTGTTACGGTTTAACGATCGTACGATAAAAAATGAAAACACGTAGGTCATACGATTAATAATTTGCGAATGAAACGATTTCTATGGAATATAATTCTATTGAAGAAAGAATGGATATTGGATGTTGATACATTTAAGAGAAAAAAAGATTTCGATGAGATGATTTGACATTTCCTTTTATTTGACAAAATGCATCTCGTCGATGTATACAGATTAAGCTCGATGAATTCGCTCGTGAACTTCGTTACATATTGAAACAAATTCAATATTAATATCATTTTCATTTTGTTAGAGAACGTTTCGAGTATATAATCGTTAAACCCAAACGTTAACTCAATCATTCTTCTATGTGTAAATCGTCTCTATGTACGTTTCAGAACTCCTAATCGGTTTAAAACTATCTGCAACTAGACCGAGTCAATTATCCTGTCAACTCTCTGTCCTCGATCTCTTTACCACGGTATCGATATAACGCGAAATTTGAAAATTCATTTTTTAATTCATCGATATTCTTAATCTTATTTATACATGATATACGTATATACTTTATAAAAATATGAAGATTTATCAAATTGAAAAAAGAACTTTAATATCAAGTTGTTGCAACGAAACGATCGTATTCTCAATATAAGAATTTTTCATATTTTTTAGTCTTATTAAAAATGATGTTAAAAGTTTGACTCGACAAAATCAATACACGCCAATTATTATAATTGATCTGATTAATTTGATTGATTGCTATTAATAATTTGTTTAATAATTTGTTTTCACGATTGTAATTTCTTAAACCAGTTACAGATTATTTGATGCGATCTTTTCAAAAATTCTATCAATGTTGTACCAGCAATTTTTTAATGTTACGTTAAATTTTAAATCCGTATAAAAATTTAACGTTGAAATACAATTCGCTGAAATATATAATTCGTTTCATTGTAATAATATTCAAATTGTGAATTCATCCAGCTTCAAATTTTTAAAATAAACGCGCAACAAATAAAATTCAACGATACGATCGAGTCATAATCCGCATTATTTTGTACGTAAAATTGGCCATTTCGTATGCAACAGCCTAATAATTCTTTTGCATTCCAAGCTATATAATTTAATCTGTCGATAGCACGCATAAAAAAAATACGATTACTTATCTCGTAAAAATCAAACAATAGATCGAGAATCGTTCCTCGATTCTAGCAAAGTTCGCCGGAACACGGAGATCGAGGCGCAAAGAAAAATCATGCATACGAGCTGCAATAATGGAATGCCTCCAACTTTCAGTCAATAAAGAAGTTCCGAAAACAATTTTGCAATGCAATAACCCTTCGCGCCACGGCAATCGACAAAGTTTCCCTCGAAGCCTTGCCTCTTTCACGTTCACGGACCCGGACGATCTTAAAATTCAACCAACTTCCAAGAGGATCGTTTTTCCACTTACAAACAGAGATTTCCCCGCCCTTGTTGTTTCTCTCCTCGAACCATTCGGAGCTAAGATGAGATCGATCGATCGTTGAAAAATCAAAAGACGATGCTCATTGGACGATGCTTACATTGCTATATTATTTTCTCTTTAGAGTCTCTCGTTGTGTCACACGTCCATGTTTCCTCGTTTCCCGCGCTGGATTTATCCTTCGAGAGAAGATGGGAGACGAGATGGAAAGAACAACGGTTCATCCAGGAGAAATCGAATTTCGGCTCGAAGTAATTTCATACCGTACCCGAGTTTTGCCTTTGCACAACCCATTTCTTCCTCAAGGTTCCAAAGTCGAGCGTATATATATCGCGGAGATAGAGTTCGCCAAATAAAATTTGAATCATCGTGTTTAACGTAGAAACGAATATAGAAAGATAGAATATTTCGGTTACCTTAAAATAAATACTTTTGTCTATTGCTATATCTAATATACTCTTCTATTAGACAGAATTTTTTCTAAAATATTTACGACCCAATTTCTTTCAAAAGATACCATGCACTGTACGAGATATTCTACGTACACGTTCCATTCTTTAAGTAAATTATAACATATATTTTACTTTTTCTAAATTTTTGGATATTCTCTAATGCATAAACGCTTTCACCACAAAGCAAAGTTACGTTTCACCAAAAAAACTTTTCGCGAGGAGCAATGGGATAATTCCGCGAGAAAGCAGCAGTCTTGCTCTCCTCGTTAAGATATCTTTTTATACAAAAAAAAAAAAAAGGAATTAGAGCGAATCTGCAAAATGTTCCAAAGTGCAAAAGTTCGATGCACCAGTAGCATCGACCGGACAAAATGTAGGCTAGTAGTATGTCACGAAAACGCCGGAATTGGTTGGTCGCCAAGTCGCGGATAGTCAATGGAACGAAGATAGGAAGGGAGGAACGAACGACTGGGTCTGTAACCTAAATTCTCGCGCGCAGACTTTCCAGCGATCGCTTTGAAACAGCCTGTACAGCTTCCGGTGGATCAATGTTACTCGTGGTTAACTGTACACAATGTTGCATCGCTATAGACCGATTCTCATACGCGAGACCATATTCTCGATCGTTCGCGAATTTGTTCGAAACAATCGAAACGAAAGGGGAAAAGAAAGAAAAAAAAAAGAAGAATCGTACTTTGTTACAAAAGCACGTGTTCTAATATGGATCTAACAAAACGAATTAATCCAAATAACGCGATCGAGCATGAACAAGCGCCAATTTCTCGTTGCATTTCATAGAGCACTATGAAAAATTCAAGTAGCTTTTGTTCGTGACGATAAAGGATACGAGAACGAAAACCACTGTCAATCGTAACCGACCTTGTATCCGAGAGATTTATTTCGTTCGAACCGATGGTAAATGGTTTACCATTTCATTTGTGTCGATGCCTAGGTTTTGTTTCTTTTTTTTTTTCCATTGTTAATGCAATTCTTATTTTCTCGATTTTAAGTTGATTCAGCGATACAATATTTTTCATTGAGACTTTTCTAATCGATTCTTGCTTCTAATTTTGATAATTCTCTATTATGAAAATATAAACTTGAAACGTATAACTCGATAGCGAACGATGATGATTCTTATTTTGAGTTTTATTTTAACACGATATTCTTGGATCACTTAATCGTTTAATATTCTTGTTAACGAAGAACTTGTGAAAAAGAAATAAGAAGAGAGCGCAGATGCACGTAACCATCATCTGAATATTTATACGAATGAAATGAAGTTAGAAAAAGCAAATAGAAACGAGGACTCGCAAGGGATTTCTTGCCAGAGTATTCTCGCGTCTGTCTCTTCCTTCGAGTATATCGACATCACTTTCCAGTCTTTATTTCCTCTCGCGTCTTTCTGACCCAGTTCCTCTCCTTGTTTCCGTAAATTATTTCATTCGCATAAATTAGAAAGAATATTTTGCAGCAACTTCACCCGACTTGCGGCATTTAAACCATTTGAACAGAGAAAATGAATTATTCTATCTTTTTTAATAAAATATTATCGAATGATATTACTCATTTCTACACTCAATAATAATTGATTTTATCCCGTTTCCAAACACCGTTCCATAGTTTAGGAACGATTGATTCTTTGTACGAAACGTTTAATAAACTTCTCGTATGACGATATCGTATTTCGATAATCCGATTTATCGATA